GAAAGTTATGAAAATGTCCTTCTGAAAAGGACATTTGACAATCTAAACAATGTTTGCATCACACAAAATTGTAAGAAATAGGAAAAAAATATTAGTGAAGAAAAAGCTACCTCGCGAAGAGCTTTTCAACTCAATGTTTTTATTTGTTCTTACTTGTTTGAGTCAATGTTTGTGACATGAACACTTAGGGCATGTCAATTACAAAAATTTGTAAGGAAAACTGATCAACTTAGAAGTTTTGCCTAACTTTGAGTGCAATAAATAAAAATGTCAAGTTTTTGTGAAATCTAAGTATGTTAAGCATTCTTATAAATCTGTTAAAAGCAATTCTAATCCCTTAGAATTGATTTACACTAACATTTGTGATATGAAGTTAATGTCATCTCATGGTGGGAAAAAGTATTTGCTACTTTTATTGAGAATTGCATTAGAAATGACTATGTCTATTTGTTGAATGGTAAGGATGAAGCAATTAGAAATGTCTAGACAATGTAATATCGAAGTTGAAAATCCATGTGAGAAAATATAAGAAGTGATAAGAATGGAGAGTATAAATCTCATTGTGCAGAAATATGTTTGAAAAGTGGAATATCCATCAAACTACTGCTATATTCACCTCAATCTAATGAAAAATCGAACGTTGAAAGAAATGATGGCTGCATTATTTATAAGTTTGGATTTACAAAAACTTGTGTGGAGGAACTATCCTTACTACAAAAGGGAACAACAAAAAGTTTTGTCTTTTTAGAAAGAAAGCAATTTTGTTTGATCAGAATACAATCTTTTCCATATGAGAAATGGAAAGGAAGGAAATCCAACCTGAAATATCTCAAAGTGTGGGGGTATCTAGTCAAAGTCCAAGTTCCTATTCCTAAAAGAAGTAAAATAGGACCTATGACTGTGGACTGTAAAATTATACTTGAGTAGTCTAGAGAAAGGTCTAAAAGGCCTAGGAAATGAAATGGATAATGTATTTAATAAAGAGATTCAGAGACTTAGTAAATGTTAAAGGACATTTACTTCCTTGGGATATGATTTTGTAACATATCCTGTGTTTTCTGTAGACTCATTCTTTGGAAAGATGGTGTCAATAAACAATATTGGAAGTTAATTGATCATCTTCAAGAAAATAAACATTTGGGTTTAAAGTGAATCTTTAGACGGAAAATAACAGTTGATGGAACTGTTGAAAAATATAAAGCAAGACTTTGTGTCAAAGGTTTTAGACAAAAAGAAAAAAAAGGTTTTGATCTTGTCAATATAAATATATACTCGTTAGTAATTAGAATTACATCCATTCGGATGCAAAAATTATTAGTGTGGTATATGACCTCCAAATTCATCAAACGAATGTGGAAAGAACTTTCTTAAATGTAGAATCGGAGGAAGAAATTTACATGGAACAACCCGAGGATTTTGTGGTTCCTGGTAAATAAAAGAAAGTGTGGGAACTTGTTAAGTCACATTATGGAAGCACCCAAACAATGATATAATTTGATCAAATCATGTCGGCAAATGGATTGAAGAATGATGGAAGTGATAAATGTGTTCACATTAAAATCATAAGGTCATTGTTTGTTTGTATATTGGTGATATGTTGATCATCAATAGAGACACTAATGACATAAATGCTACTAAATGTATGCTATAAAGCAAGTGAAATGAAAATTATTGGAGTTGCTAATGCAATCTTAGATATAAGAATTCGTAGAACTCCATAATGTTTAGCATTTTCATGGTCATTGCATTGAAAAGGTACTTAACTAGTTCAAATATTTGGATGTCAATATTTTGAAGTCTCCAATAAATGTGAGCTTTGCATTTCGAAAGAGTGAAAACAAAAGTGACTCACAATTGAATTGTGCTAGAGTTTTGGGAAGCATGATGTATATCATATAGTGTGTGAGATCAGATATAGCATTTTCCATTTAAACTGAGTCCGTTCACAAGTGATCCCAAATAAATTCATTAGATGACAATAAATAGAGTTTTGGGGTATTTAATATAATACTTAAAACTATGTCTTGCATTATAACAATATCTAACAATATTGAAAGATATAGTGATGCAAATTGAATCATCGGACGAATGAACTAAAATTCACGAGTGGATATGTATTTATTATTGGTAGAGGAGCAGTCTCTTGTAAATATTTCAAACAAGACATGTATCACTAGCTCTACAATGTTCTTTGAGCTAGGTGCTCTAGATAAGGTCAGTGAATAAGTCAAAAGACTCCAGAATTTCTTGATAAATATTCTATTTTGGCCCAAATTATTGGCATTAGTATGCATACATTTTCACAGTCATGATGCAATAGGTAGGGTATGGAGCATGAAGTATAACGGAGAGTCTCGTCATATACGACATAGACATGATACTGTTAGAAAACTACTCTCTAGTGGAATTATCATAATTGACTATGTAAAGTCAAAGGATAATGTGTCGGATCCACTTACAAAAAGACCTAACTAGAGAGGAAGTTAAAAGATCATCTAAGGGAATAAATTTATGGCTTAGGACAAGTCATCATGGCGGTAACTCTATCTAGCAAACTGGAGATCTCCAAGAGCTAGATTCAAGGAGAAAAATAAAGTTGTGAATGACGGTTCGGCATTGTCAACAAACTCAATCCATTCTCATGATGAAGACAATCCTCAGGGACAAGGATACAACATTTAGGCTTGTTAATGAGTTAATAAAGCTTAATGATTTTAATGATTTGCTAAGTTTGGTAGAGTTAACCAAATAGTGTATCTACGCGATAACACAGTTAGGAATCACTGATGTGAGTGTAAGTGTAAGCCGTTTCAAAGATGATGATTGTCAAAAGCCCATCTCTCTATACACTCATGAAACCAAGAGGTGTTCATGGCTAAAACTAACACAATCATAAGAATCATAAATGGTAAAGGGTTAATTGTGTGACATATGGTTGTCTAGGTATACACCAAAATTTGACGGCTCAAAGATATCGCATCTACCGATTGACCGAGTATATCTGACATATGTTCATTACAGAAAGTCTAAGGGGAAACCTACTTATCCAGATGCAATTAATTCTTGCTTGTAAAGTACACATACTTGTCCGTTTCTCTGTCTTCGAGTCATTCCCCATTCATGCGGGAGATTGTTGGGTTTTAAAAAGGTGTGAATGGAAAATGAAGAGTTGCGACTTTTATGAAGAGTTGTGACTTTTATGAAATGTTGCAACTTTTATGAAAAGTTGTGACTTGAAAAGGTATGACTTTTATGGAAAGTTGTGACTTTTATGAAAGGTGACGACCTTTCTAAAAGATTGTGACTTCTTCAAAGGTTTGTGACCTTTCGGGTAAGGTACAATAAGAACCTTTTCGCACTACCCTATGTTTTCTATAAAATGAGGATTTTCCTCTCATTTTAGTAGAATTCATGGACTTCTTCTTCAACTACTAAATCTAGTATTCTAAGTATACTTTACTGTTGTTGAGTGGTTCATTGACACCGGAGCTTTTGGTATCTATACTCTGGTGATTGAGATTATTTTACCCTGGGAGGTCATATTCCAAATCAAACCTCGGATACTAGAGGGGAATAATTTCTTTAAGGAGACACTGTTAGTTCAGTGGACTTGATCTTTTTCCTATTAAAATTTTTTCAGATTCTGGTACGTGTTTTGCAAATATTATATTTGTGAATTAATTTCAGTTATTCTATTCTTTTGTTCTTCACTGGTTCATTAAACTTGGTAACTTCGTGTTTCTACAAAGTTTGTTGGAATCAGTAAGATTCTTTAGACACATATTAACAAAAAATTCTTCTTTAAGAAAAATATTTCGTATATATTTTTAAAAAATCTGTTTCTAATTCTAGTTTTGCTACTAGTTTTAATTTTCTAGTTGTGAAAATGTTCTTAAACTTTGTTGTCTTATAAAGATGTTCTGAGTATGTTTGAAATACAAGATGAACAACAGTTAATGCCTATAAAATTTGCCTTTTTTGAATACTAAAACGGTGTGCTGCTTTCAAACTCATTATCCGTCTGTTTTCAATTGAAAGATTAAGGAAGGAATCTTATGTGAGCCTTGTGGTGGCACGGGGTGGCTGCTCTGTGATTTTTGTTAAGGTCAGAAGACCAATGTGAAATCTGACACTAATAAAATTTTTCGTGGGTGTTCATCATGTAGAGCTGTAAGTGTTTTATTTTTGTTGTATTCCTATATTAATTTCTAGGAATTGTAATCATCTCACATTCTATTATTTTTCGATAGAAGATAATCCCAATAAGTTCTTTCTTGATGTTATTGCGCAGGTGGGATATTAATTGTGCTCAAAAGAAAGTGAAATAAAATAGTTCAGAACAATAATTCTTTGAAATCTCAGGCATAATTATATTCTTACAGATCATTGCAAAATTATTTTTTTTAATAAATGGTTCCCAATTTGAGGTAGTTTGACAAGTTGGGATGAAAAAGGAATTTAAATTGGTTGATAATCTCCTATCAATATCAGATATTGTCATGATGTATCTAAAAAGTATTAGGTTGTGGTGAGATAATTGAAATTTCTCGGCCTATAATAAGAGGTCTCGAGTTCAAGCCCTGAGAATGAAAAAAAAATCATGTTAGCACGACAACGTGTGAATCCTCTTATTTCTCTCATTCATTCCTGTGAGACCCTGAGAATCATGCTAAATGAAACTCAGAATTTTTACTTCTTTTTTGCAATCATGTTATAACAAGAAGGCAAAAGTCCCGCCTTATAAAAACTTATATACAGAAGGAAAAAACGGAATAATATACTTAATTTGTGGAAAAAAGAAAAAGGCAAAGTAAATGAGGGGGGAAATTTAAGTACGGGATGATGTAAATATTGAGTCATTGGGCTCTCAAGAATGCTAGTGATATTATTTTTATCAAATCATATCACTTATCACGATAAAGTATATTATGTACAAACACATATCATGTTTTTATTGATTTGGTATGAACAGTCAAGTAAATAAACTAAAGACCCTTATGTCTAAACACATATCATGCATTTATTTTTTTGATATAAACTATTAGAGTTCATACGAATTTGTCATTTACTACATGTATTTTCAAACTATTTGCTCCTTCGTGACAATACATATAATTTCCAACAATATAAGAGGCATTTGACTTGCTTTTTAAATTACAACGATTTTATGCATCATGATATTTTAACATCAAAATAATGCTAGATAAATAGCATTTTTGTTGTGACTTAAACATCACCATACAAGAAGCTTGAATAATGAATTTGACTTATCGAGTTTTTTCAACTTCTTTTCTTGTAAGCTACTCAAGAAATTGATCCCTTCGTACACATTCATACTACCAAATGGTGCGAGAGTTTCGTGTTGTCTTGCCTCTGCTTCCGTCATGGTTTTGCTAACTCTTTTTATATTCTGCACTGCTTCTTGAGCAACACCATTATTCGAGGCATCTGCCATTAGGATAGAGTAAGTACACAGTGCGTAAGATGCGCATGGAAGCAAGAGAAAACAAACCAAACATCCAAATAGCCCCCAAAATGCTTATGATGCAGAGCAGAACGACTCAAATACATTTTTTTTTACATAAAGGAACATTAATTCAGAAGATACTTACTGGACAATGCCTGGCAATATGTTTGAACAAAAGCCTTGCCAATATAGAAAAGCCCATTACAATTTAATTAGCAAGAATTTTTGCGCCTGTCTCAAGAACAACATGATGTATAGTTGCCGAAATAAGATACCATTTCACATAAGCACATGGCTCATGTACTTGAAGAAATAGGAAACAATATCTACAAACATTGACATAATGTGGGCTATGGCCTGAAATATCCACTTTTTCTATGATAAGATTCGTGCTGGTGAAAGAGTTCCAAATGTTATAATTTTACATTGTTTATGGGGTGTTACTCTGCCTGGGGGAGCTCAGGTAAAAGTGGAGGGATGCAATAGCCAATGTAAAACTAGCCAATTAATATGAATCCTCAACAATACTTTGTCTAGGGTGCAGAGGGGAGGTCACATGATTAGTCGTTAAACTATTTTTACTTAGCCATCAAATATGGTTTCCAGTACAACGTAGCTGTGTAATAGAAACATAAATGACAATTGCAGAATGAACAAAAACATACTGGAGACAAATACTTTAAAAAATTTATAGAGCTTAGAGGGTCATTTCATTAAAAGGAAGAATGGATTTGTAAGCATATCAAGGAAAACATTGCACCAATAATAAAAAAAGATAACAGTACAACATACCATTGCTAAAATTCTGAGGAAATCGGAAATGTGTAGCCTAAGAAACGACCAAACAGCAGAAGGAGATCAATCAGGTTCAACAATCAAAATTTTATATATCCCCAGTAAGATTTGTAACTATTAATAGTGAAAATATCATACTAAAACTATCAGACAACAAAGTAATGATTCCTTCATGAGTCTGCATTTTCTTCCACTCACTTACCCCATCCCCCTAGTCCCTTCTATTCCAAATTCTTCCATCATTCCTTCTCGTTACTAAGTCGAATTTCAGAATTCATCTTCTCCTGGCCTGGCAAGATAGCAAAGTTTGGTTTTTTGCAGCGATCGCTACGCCAAAAATGATGGGATAAATGAATAAATAGTTCAAGGACTACCTAATATCTCTGACCAAACATGAAATAAAAAAATCCTACAATTTATGTTGAGATTATTATACCTTATACCTCACGCCAAATGAATCCTGAAATACCTTTAGTGGCCTCATAATAGAATAAAGTCTCGCCATTATCACACTTTGTAGTCAACTAAAATACTTAAAACAATCATTGTAGTTATAGTAAACCAGTTATAAAATAAATTAAAAGAAATAAAAGGGCAAGTCCTATTCAAGTTGTGATTAATATCAGCGAAAGTGCACAAGTCCTATTCAAAATTGAAAGAGAAATGAGAATTAAAAAGCGTACCTTTTGAGTGAACTCACATAATAATTTTCTGGGGAAGAAATATGGCTGATTTTATATGTCCATTGAAATGATTTTTTTTTAATTTTTGATGGGAGAGGTTTCTTGATTCTCCTAGAAACCACACACAAATGGCTAAAAGGGACCAAGGCTCTGTTTTTTATCTTTTAAAAAAATATATAATGAATTTATTTATTTATTTTTTTGAAGTTTCACATCCTAAGTTATCATTTATAGACTTCTTTTATTTTTTAAATTGTTATCATCTAAAGTCAAAAGTGAATCCAATGATACTTATTGATATATATTTTTATAGTAACATTAACTTGACAAACAAATATAATTGGTTACATTATTGTAAAAATATGATCACTTTTAAGAAGAGAAACGTATTTAAAGCACCTTTACATTTGACGTGGATTATTCATTTCGTTCTCAAATTACTGCATTGACGAACTAAGCTTAAATGCACTCCTCTTATGCTATATGACATAGCAAGTGATTATACTTTTTTTAGGGCGTGAAAGATTAAAAAACTGTCACATTAGAATTTTTTCTTAGGAAAAAAAAATTTCCTTTAATTTTTAGTTTCCAGTGATTATACTTTTTTTAGTGCGTGAAAGATTAGAAAACTTTCACATTAGACTTTTTTCTTAGAAAAGAAAATTCCCTTCAATTTTTACTTTCCAACCTCTACAGAATTCTTCTTCTTTAAAGGATTGAGAAACCCTCAAATCGAAAAGGCAATTTTACCGTTTAATCAATATAGTTTCTCTTACCACTTCTATCAATATTTTCAAGCTTAAAAACGTTTGATTCCATGGGCATCAAAGGATTATGTTGTGAGATTGGAGAAAAAATTTGGCCAGAAAAAAATGTGAGATGCTGAACTATAGTTTAACCCCTCTAATTTTTATTTCTTTATGCTAGTAATTTTTAAAAATTAAATTAAAGAAATAACAAATTTCTCTATTTTTATTTTTTAATGCATATATATATAACACATCAAATTTTTTTTAAATCTTTGTGAACACCTCCACAATAGGTTTGGAGAGTCATCACATATACTCACACCAATTTAACGCTTATTTTCGTGTTTATAGGCCTTTGTTAAGAAAACTTTATGGGGACTTTCATAATGTGTTGGTGAACCATCACATATAGTCATATCTTTTTTTTAACACCTATTTACATGCATTTTTTTAGGAATTACGTAATTTTTGTTATTTTTCTTGTGTATTAGCCAATGAAACGGCTCCTCGAATACCACAATAAACTTTGTGAAGACCTCCGTAATGAATTGGGGAACCACCACGTCGAAAAGATGGTCCAATCGTTTATCTTTTCAAATGATGATGACCATTTCCCATTACATCGAAATCATCTTTTCAAACTTATTTTACAAACTTGTCTGTTAAGTTCTATTTTGTTCTCTTTAAGTTGTTGTCAATATCATCAGTAAGAGTTCTTGTGATTGAAGTTAAATTTTTATGTTGGGATTATGAGTTTTTCATTACGGATTAATTTATCGAAGTGCAAAAAGATTTGGTATATCAAATGTAGAATTTTGAACACCTTGGAGTGCTAAAATAATTATGTTAATTAGGCATACCCAATACTTTTTTTACTATGAAAATTTCTTTTTGAATATGGAAGTAAAAGCAGGTAACTAAGAAGCTTGGTTAAAAAATGTTATATCTAATCGTTGACATTCAATTTTTATCATTCACAATGTAAATTAAATTGCAAATACTTTAAAATATTTCGTTTTGTTTTTCATGTTATTTTAAAATATAGTTTTATCACTTTTTATAATTTTGAACTAACATGTATGCTTTTGTATAAATATGTATATAATTAATTAACTAGTACATTTTATGAATATTAAAAAACTGTCACAATTTTTTTGGTTCATAATTATTTTGTTTCATTTAAATTAAGAACTTGTTATTTAAATTGAAGACAAAGTTTATAAATTTGATTACTACGTTCTTTAAGTAATTTGAAATCTAAATACAAATAACGGCTATTTTCATTTCAATACAAATACTTGTTCTCTTCTCTTCTTCACTTCACTACCATTCTCTTCCACAGTAGCACTGAAATTAGGCGATGGGTTTAATTTCTCAATTTTGCTTCTTCTTCGATCAAACAGAACTACTTCTTTTTTCTGGGTTATGCATCAAGAAAATGGCGAATTGATGGTGGCGAGAATAAAATTGGCAAATGAGTAGAGATATTCCTATGCTTCTTGAATCAATTTTCGTATGCCACTGTTAGTATTCAGGTATTTCTTCCCATTTTCGTCTAAATTTAGGGTTGGGGGTTTAGTTGATTTGATTGAATATCAATTTTCACTCTCATGTTACTGCTTAGAATTAGGAATGAAACATACAATTTTGTTTTGCTGAAACTCCTTTTCTTTGTATATTGATGAATTTTAGTGAATTCATTTTCTTTCTCGTTTCTGTGTTGTTTTAGCTGTACTTATCTATTTTCTTTTTGTATCAATTGATGATTGTTCGATCCTGATAATTACCCAAATGATTTTCACCTCTTCAATATGGATTTCCAAACTTTTTGAGTTTTGCACAAATGGAATCTGAAATAAATAAATAAATATGGGAAATTTCAATAACTAGCAGCTTCATAGAGCCAGGGATTTTGAAAATTGATATTAATATACCGTTGATGTGGGGGCTAGATTCCGTTGCCGTAAAGATGTTTGATCAAAGTCCCAAAAGAATTTTAGTTTAGCGGAAAATCGTGAACAACTATGATTTGTTCAACACATTTATGCTCAAACTTTTGTCAGCGGACAAGTAAGCATTATAATTTTCCTTATCATTATAAGCCTAGATAGATGGAATCTTTAGGATGAAAATGAGTTTTTCGGTTGATTTGTCTTCTTCACTCTTTGCTTTTGCGACCATGTCAGACCTTTTTAACGCACAAATAACTACCAAGGGGTTAAGTATTCATCCCAGCCATCCCCTGCCTCTTCCTGGTTAAGAGATTATCCATACCTCTTTGCTGTGATTCCTTTGGAAGTAGATCACTAGTAACTCGATCACAATCTGCCTGCACATCGCACAATTGTGTTTTAAAATATTTCAAACCACTGTAAAGTAACTACTAAACAATGTTACAAAAACTGTAATTCACTACTGACCGAGTAGCAGAGAGGTGACGTAGGAAAAGAACCTAAAAGTGGACTGAGAGAGCTTGTTTTCGTTGACTGTGGAAAGAAACAGTCTGATGTAGCATCTAAGGGAAGAATGCCAAAAAAGTAATGAGCAACCTAGAACCAAGTGTTGGGAGTGTTTAGTTGTCAATTGAGACCAAGTTGATGATTCTAGATGTGCCACTCTCAAAGTTGGAGTGCTTACTTGCCAGCTGAGACGAAGCTTTGAGTATTATTTGTTTATGCATTCTGATTTTTTTTTTATCAAGAACTCATCACTCTGAATATCTGCAGAAGAAGTACTTTGAATCAAAAGACAAGTTGAAATGTGTTGTATGTATTTTTTCTATATATGATGCCATGTGTGGGTGTAGGGTGTCTTTGTTTCTGCAAATATATTTAGTGGGGTTAAACTTGTAGTTTACTCTCTTCTCAGCACTTGCCAACGAAGATGATCCATCTTTTCTGTTGTATTGTTTGTATTGGCATTTTAATATTTACTCAGAAACTCTGCTTTTATATACGATTCTTTTTTTTTGTCTTCTTTATTCAATCATTTTTGTTTGTTTACTCTGGATCTATGTGCCTAAACACGTTTAAAGTTGACGCATTTGTCATGTTCATGTGAAGATTAGTTGTATTTAGGGTCCTGAAATCACCACTACTACTATTTAGTTAACTAAAAATTATTCTACTTCACAATTATAGATCCAAGTCAGAAGAGAATTTGAAACAGAATCTGTCCTGTGGCAAGTCAGATTTGGAAACCTATGAGAAAGATCTGGAAAACCACACCAACTTCTGTTTGTTGGATATTAACTATGGAAGGGAAGAAATGCAAGATGTTTTGAAAGAAAAGCAGATTCTGTACAGAAGATTAAGGTTAGATGCTTATGACTTTTGGCTTTTTGGTTGATCTTCAAGATGAAAATAGCTTGGTAAATTTCATAGACTCATTACACGGATATTTGTACAGAAGAACCTTTTCTTTTTGCTTTTGTGTATAGGAAGGTTCTGACGATATTAATGTACTAGCATCAAGTTATTGCTACATTATTTTTATTTTTTTCCTTATCAATATAAGCCTATATAGATAGAATCTTTAGGATGAAAATGAGTTTTTCGGTTGATTTGTCTTCTTCTTTCTTTGCTTTTGCGACCATGTCAGACCTTTTTAACGCACAAAGTTATCAATGGGTTAAGGTATTCATCCAAGCACTCCCCTGCCTCTTCCTGATTAAGAGTTTATTCGTACCTCTTTCTTTGCAGCACTATTCTTTTGGAAGTAGATCACCAGTAACTCGATCACAATCCGTCTGCACATCACACATTAGAGTTTTTCAACCCATTGTAAGGTAACTACTAAACAATGTTACAACAACTTGGTTTTCATCGAGTAGCAGAGAGATGATGGCGTAGAAAAAGGACCTAAAAGTGGACTGAGAGAGCTTGTTTTCTTCGACCGTGGAAAGAAACAGTCTGATGTAGCATCTAAGGTTCAACTAGAATGTTCATGGAAGAAATGCCAAAAAAGTAATGAGCAACCTAGAACCAAGAGTTGGGAGTGTTAAGTTGTCAATTGAGACCAAGTTGAGGTGTCTAGATGTGTCACTCTCAAAGTTGGAGTGCTTACTTGCCAGCTGAGACGAAGCTTTGAGTATTATTTGTTTATGCATTCTGATTTTTTTTATCATGAACTCATCTCTCTGAATATCTGCAATTTTGCTGCTCTCTCGTTTGTAAGTTCAATTAGATGCTCTGATAATTGTTTCAACGTCACATTATTGTGGCAAATTTTGTGTTCAACAG